CTAATTCAAGTTTTGTGCAAAAACGCATGATCGCTCCGGCTCGCCTGGTGCGTTCCAGCCTAGTTTTGCTTGTTTTCGCTGGGTTAAATCTGAAAGAAGTTGCCAGAGCGGTCGTTCGTCAAAAAATCCAAGCATGCAAATGACCTGAATGTTCATTTACGTATTTGGATGAAGGCGGCCGTTCGTGCATAATGCACTCCTTTCTGACTTTTCGGCAAAGTTGAATATTTCTCATGGCCACATGCAGAGAATTTCACTTCCAAACAGAATTAGGACTGCAATTGAAAATAGAATATCCCAGCGAAATTTCAGTCTTGCATCTTATCTTGTAAGCGAAATATCCACTTCGCTACAAAAATCTTTGAAGTGCCCTAAGTCGTAGTGCAAGTGCAAATCGGTAATCATTTTAGGTATACGGTTTCCCATGGGGACGGCAAACACGCTGACAAAATTCCAGCTACTGTTTTCCGGCAAGTTTTCGAGTTCGCGTAGTACCAGGTCGAAAATTTTGACATGATCGTGCGCGCCGCACACGCGTGCGCAACAGCTTGAGTCTAAAATTTTTAGCACGCACATGAATAGAGAATTGAGAACACCCCTGCAAAGTTTCAGCTTTGTGCCTTGCCTGGTTCGCGAAATCATTACCGAAATTGTTTCCGACCAACGAAATTTGCATAAATTTTGGGGGGCCGTGGGCAGGGTCTAGGCGCGTGTGGGGGAAGTTCTTGAAATGGTAGGATAATACATGGGGTAGGAACGTATACCCAAATTTTCAGCCTCCCAGTTTCCTTGGTTGCTGATATGAAAGTGGGTGACAAAATGCACTCGCTTCCGGTCACACACAGACAACCTCTCGACAATGTGCGTTTTTACTGGCTGTGGCAGCGCTATTATGTTGCACGGTAAAAACGCGTAAGAAAAAAACCAACCGAGCACGTGTCATGCCTCGAACCACCGACACAACTGCCCTCCTCACACGTCGCCCTGCTTTGATTGAAAATAAGTCCATAGGGACAAAAACGTAGTTTGTATTTTCCGCCGTTGCATACTTTGTAAGCAGTGCAATCAGACTTGTAAGCCCGCAGTTCTCCCTCTTTGCAACCATTTGTTCGTTTGCATGTCGCATTTAGCACACAGAAGCCACGCTGCAACCCCAGTGCAATAAAATACTTCATCCAAACGAGAGGGATGTACCTCTATGCGTACAGACTGTTACTCAGAACAGTTCTAAATTATTCAGTATTTACCCTTATGAGTGGCAGAGGCACCTGGAAGTAGCCCTGAGTGATAGCACTGCCAACAGTAACCACTCGCTTAAAACATTTTCGATAGCTCCCTCTTTCAAGGGTAGGCTGATGGTGGATTTGACTCGTTGACACATGCCCATTGTTATCGAAACGAATTGACGGATCATAGAAGTGGTCATCTCACTAACAGTATGGAACTCTTGACCCTCTGCGGATTATGGCATTACCTTCCGCTCTGTTACACTGTTTACAGTCGCCAGCTGATAAAAACTGCAAATACAGTTTAGTGTATCTTTAATCTTCCTCCAATCTTACCTTATTTTTCAAAAATTGCTTCATCAGTAAACCAGCAACTTATTTTTTACACAGCAATTTACGTTTGGCGTTTTGTTCATCTTACAACCAAAAAGGTCAAAATCCCTCAATATTTCCTCTGCAAGGAAGATGAAAATACTTTCTCACTTTATATATTTGCATATGCTTTGGAGATTGATTTAAGAAAAACTTAAATAATTTATAGCGAGTATGACTGTCAAAAACACTGGGCGCAAGTAGTAAACGGAAATATTGCCTAAAGCATGAGATGAAGTACCTTTCCATCAAATGAATGACCATCGCTGCAAAATTGCTCCCGAAACCGGCCTTGTTTGCAAACGAAGTAGCGCATGCAGTGTGAATCGTCGGCAATTGCATGTCCATCTCTGCACAACGACTCGGGCATCTCTTCTGCAACACCGGACGTCCACTACTGTCGCCGATACTTGAGGGCTAGGAATCAACCCCAGTTGCAAAACAAAAAGAGCAAAGTAGCGAGATTGTGCTTGAAAAAAAAAATAATCCTTTTTTTAGTCTCTTCCATTAATAAGAATCAACAAGTCTGAAAAATTGTACTGCACATACACCTAGGACTTACGATTCGGCCCTGAGCTAATTATTTTGTCTCTACTATGCAAGAACAGGATTTTTCGGAGCTCCTTTATGCGTTTTTTCTGTGCAGTGCTATAGCGCTGCTACAGTGGAAAAAACGCATATTGTCGAGAGGTCGTCCATGTGTGTGTGTTCAGAAGCGAATAAACTTTGTCACTCACTTTCAACTCAACAATCAGGAGACCTGGGAGATTGAAATTTTTGGAGCATATTCCCATCCCAGGCACCATCCTTCCGTTTCAAAAAGTTCGCCCATATGCGCCTAGATTTCGCACGGGCCACCGAAAAAAGTATGCAGTTTCTTTGGCGGGAACGACTTCGTGATCCCGATAAAATAGAAAGCTGAAACTTTGCAGGGATTTCCTCTGTATATGTGCGAGCTAAAGATTTCAAATTCAGCTGTCGCGCACGCTTGTAAAGCTCGTACAATCACATTAAAATCTGTACTTGTCACTGTCCTAACTCGAGAATAGTCGGAAAGCAGTAACTGAAATTTTGTCGGAATATTATTGTTCATATAGGAAACTGTATACCTAAATTGAGTCTCAATTTGCACCATGACTTAGGGTACTTCAATGATATTTGTAGCGAAGCGGCTATTTCGCTTACCAAGCAAGCTCCGAAGTTGTAACTTTGCATTGATATTCTATGTTCAGTGTGGTCTTAATTCAGCTTGGAGGTGAAGTTTCGCGTGCGAGGACCTGACAAGTACTTAATTTTACCGCAAACTCAAAAGCGAATGCGTTCTGCAGATTTCATAATCCTCTTCCGGTTTCCTTCAAATTTGCATTTTTTCAGTGAACGAGCATTCACCGAAAAACAACCAGGTTTCATGCAAAAAATTGATATCATGCGCGCTGGAGGTCTAAGCGGCCCAGTAATACAACACCCTCATCTCAGTCGGCACCCTTTTCCCTGCATGCGAAAGGAGGTCAAAACACGCAGCGCGGGAGCCACTCCTGCTTTTAACAATCTGCATGTTTGGCGCAAAAACGCATGATCGCATCGGCAAGCTTGCTGCGCTGCAGCCTAGTTTTGTTTGGTGAGGTCCCAGTAACTAACAGGCGGCATTCATTGGTAGCATGCAAGCGTACGAAAGTTATGTAGAATTTTAGTTTCCTTCGGCTTACATTGAAATCAGTACACTAACCAACGCTTGAAATATGCCTGAGAATTCAAAGTTTCCATACTCCATTGCTTTTTCCTGCTTTTGTCAATGATCACAGTCAATGCTTTTGACTGTGATCACAGTCAATGCTTTCGACCCGACAGTACCACATAGGTACTAAAGCATGAGCGATCTGGTATACTGTGGACATCAATAGTGCCGATGAATCTGCAGGTGCCTAATAGCTCTTTAGTATGCAGATTCTAGCCAGCAATTTTAGTATATATTTTTTTCTTTACTGATATAGAAATAGAAACTCCAAAATGCGAAAAAATTTAGAAATTTGGCATAAAAGAACCGAATGCCCAAAAGTTATTGTCAAAAAGGAAAATTTTGCCCTAATCTGACAATTTCATGACCTCCAGGGACAGGCCTCTTTCGTTTGGCTGAATATGCTGTTGAATTTACTGAAACTATGTCAAAGACTTTCACCTAGCTAACTTCAAAGATCCGGGGTCTAAAATGAAGATTCAAGGGGCCGCAAAGCTACCTACACAGCAACAAGGATGCAGCGAAAGAGGAAACGCATAGATACTTGCCATCGCTTCGCTTCTTCCGTACATCCATACAGTTAATTTCTGGAATAGTTTGGGTTTTTCTTTCGAAATTTTGCTAACATTCAAAACAAAATGCATCAAGCAAACCGCTGTCCACATGCCCATCCTGGCAGATTGTTTCTTGACATCGACCATCAGCGAATCGTCGATTGTCTTTGCATACAGCTTTATGCCATTCTCCATCCTGGCATATCCGGTAGTGTCCACAGATTTCAGTTGCAACCACTCGGCCCTCCGAACAACGCCACAAATCACAGCGGTAACTGAAGGGAACGCAGAAACTCTAGATAAATGTTTCGATCATAGTCAGTCTAAAATCACTGGCGCCACGCACACACACCAGAGAGGGGGTGAGGGGGGTAGGGAGGGACGAGCCGTGCGATCATGCGTTTTTGCAGTGCTTCTGCTGTAATGAGATCGCTCGGAAACCCAGTAGCTAGAAATGTGTGACATACTGATCCTCGCATGTCAGGAAGTTAATTGTCTATGCTGTACTTGAACAGGGAACATTCTCTGAAAATTCAAGCCTCCCTGCTTTTCCTTCTCCCGAATTAGCCACTTTCCCGCCAAAAATTTTCGTCGGGAATTAAATAAGAGCCACGCACACAGAGGGGCTGAATTCGATAACTTTAAGTTGTACATGTGCTAGGAACATCCCTTGAAAATTTTAGCCTCCTAGCTTTCCAGGTTTCCGAGCTAGCCATTTTTCTGCCGGAAAATTTCATGGGGCAGTGCATGAGAACCACGCATGCCTGAAGGCTGAATCTAATAAATTTTTATTGTATATGTGCTGGGAACATTCCCAGTAAATTTCAGCCTCCTGGCTTTCCTAGTTCCCGAGTTAGCCGTTTTTTCGCCAAAAAATTTCACGAGGCCGTTCGTGAGTACCACACACGCTGAGGGCCTGATAATTTTAGTTACACTTGTGCTGGAAACATTCCCTGAAAATTTCAGCCCTCCAGGTTTATTGGTATCTGAGTTAACGATTTTCGCGCAAGGAACCCCCACAGGGTTGTACGCGGGAACTACGCACACCTGGGGGCTGAATTTGGAAACTTTGAGTTCTCTGTGGACGGGAGATATAACCACAAAATTTTGGTCCTCTAGCTATCCTGATTCCCGAGTTAGCGATTTTCCCGCCAAAACTTTCATCCCGTCGCACGCGGAGCCCAGTCTTAGGGGAGGGTTGGTGCCGCGGTCCTGGGGTAGCACTTGTCCGGGGAACCTACCGGCAAAATTTTGGCGCCGGAGTTTGTTTGGGTGCCGAGTTGAAATATCCGGACAGACGTACGCACACACACAGACACAGACACACACACCGGGGTCGTCACAATATGTGTTTTTGCATTTGCATATAAACAAAAACGCATAAAAAGCAGAACTCAGGACTTGTTTTCTACATGATTTTTGAACAACACTTTTAGAAGAAAGTTGTATTATACAAGAAGATGAGAAATTACTTATAGTATAGAAGCTTAGCCTCCCTGTTGGGATGCCATACCTGTCACCAGCTTGCTTCTGAAAACACTCTTGGAGAAGTATGCCATGGATGGCTTGCCTTTGGCATTTGCTACAATTCAGGCTTAGCTCTTAGAGCCTGTGCTATTAAGGAAAGCAATTACCGGGAATTTCTACAGTAACAAATTACAGGCCAGCTAGGATTAGACAACTCTACCTGCATTTGCACGAGTCTCCTTAGCCAATAGTCAATATTTCAAATGGATTCATGGAGCAATCGCAGATCTGTCATAAGCGACTTGATAAGGCATCTTTTTTGGCGTCCGATGATTGACAGATGTGGATGAGGAGGCAACTAGTCATGCTTCATTTGCTGTGCTTCATGTTGGTGATAGGTGTTAAATCTTGCTATTATTTTTTTTTTTTTGAGCCTTGGAAGAAAATGTTCCACGTTCTCTTATAGCCTTTCTCGTAGAATTCTGCCTAGATTAGTAAACTTGCCTTCCTATTTCAGAAAATCTTGCCGCAGCTCAGCATTTCAGATTGGTACAAGGCGGTCCAAGTTTGAAATGTGTTTGCTTTCTACACAGCAAGAATTCTGTGAACCGTTTTCTATTCTTTTGTTAATACATCAACAGAATCGAGGCCGTTTTCTGTCATTTTTTTTTCTCACATCTCCATTCTTCATATTGGTCTGGCATTCAATGAGGCAGTTCTACTATTCCAACACAATAAACTAAGAATCCATTTTGCCCACAAAAACCCAGAAGCAAAACGGTACTCACTTTTTCTCGCACTGACCACTTTCATCGTTGAACTGGTGATCCGGATTGCAATAACGTGGCTCATAGCCTTTTGAGGTACATTCGAAATACTTGCCGCAGTCGTGTTCATCCGCAATGGTGCTCCCGCGACGACAGTCCTAAAATTCACAGATCTTCGACTAATTAAATATTTATTACTTCTGGAACTGGGAACTCTGGGTAAATGGAATAATCTCGAGAATAACATTAGAACCAAAGAGACGAAGAAACAACAGAAAAAATTAATAAATGGCCAACGCACGGGCTGCCCGTGCGAAGATGCGTTTTTTGCAGAGTTCCCCGCA